TTGGCTTTTGAAAGCCAATAGAATAGACTCTCTTGAATAGAGTCTAATTCTATTGGCTTTCAAAAGCCAATAGGAATTGTCCAGGCTGTCTCTGCCCTGCTGAGCCCATCAAAAGTCCCATTCTACAAACGGTGCTGCACCAGTTGAGTAGTCCTCGACTTACGACCGGTTGAGTAGTCCTCGACTTACGACCGGTTGGGGGTCGCGGCAGTAAAAAGGTTGAGAACCACTGGACTAGGACAAAGCTTCAATGGACTGGACTACCCTGGAAGTTCGATTTGTGGTATCTGGATTATGTATTGCTACATTTTTATTCTGTTACTGCTGTTTCCCTCGTACATTCTTTGGAAGAAGGAAGGATGCTTCAGACCATGGATCCAACACTTGCCTTAATATGTTTGACCCTCAGGATGGCTCAATGTTCCAAAACCGGCTTGCAGAATCAAGGGTGTGAACAATGTATCACACTTACCCAGCATAAGGGACAGACTAGCAAGACACTGATTTATCACTCCTCCTACGAGTGTAAAAGAACAAAAGGGAGTTGTGTTTATAACAAAACTACATATTCCACTTGCAAAATGGGGGATAGGGTCACTTGTTATGATCCTGTCAATATAGTAAAGCCCTACCAACAACTTCAAATCTGGGCATATGGAAGGACACACAGACAATACCTCTTGCAAAAGAATGACAAGAGACTTATGGGTAGTGCCAGTGTCTGCTTTGATGTATGTAAAGCTATTGACTATAATCAACTTAGTGTGGAGCGCTAGGGCAGAGACAGGCCTACTCATTTAACACCAAACACGTCTGTACATCCTACCATGGCTACAGTTTTCCACCGTGTCTGAGCTGGAACCCTGTAAAGTGGTATACAGGGGTAACCCAATCTAGCACAATCGAAGGAAAGTTCAATGTAATTAAAGGAATCAGTACTTCCCAGTGCAATGGTGATTCCTGCAACCCGTGTGCTTCGAGATAACCAGACCAGCAGACTTCTCAGCATTATTTGGACTAGCTATCAATGAACCAGAGCAGACCCCTGTACGCAGATATATGTTCAAGTTGACACTATTATACCACCGTCCCAGAAACATTTTCAAGTTTTTCACTCTTTTTACGATGAATTGGAAACCACAATTGAGATTCCCTCGGTAGCAAAGAACCTTTTTATTGATCTGGCCAAAATAATTGCTTCATCTCTAAATATAACTAATTATTACGTGTGGGAGGGACGTGCCTGGCTAAGGAATTCTGGGAGTTGAAGTCCATGAGTCATAAAAGGGCCGAGTTTGAAGTCCCCTGCTCTATATGATCCAATCAAGAAACTCAGACGGAGGCTTCCATAAACAGCTCTTTAATCAGCTGAATGAAGCAGCTGGGTGTATTTCCTCCACATGCAGGCAGCAGCATGAAAAAGGAAAGCCACACCCCTTGTTTCCACAAAATTTTCTTTTATAGTGTTATTTTAACCAATCAACTTTCAATACCATCACACTTATGTCACTTTCTCTTATCTCTCTGTACTTGCTCTTCTCAACTTGGGCTAATGGAAGGTAAATTTAGATATGTCACCAAGGATCACATTACCGTTACTGGTGGAAAAACAAGATATAAATAAAGCAAAAAAGGAACTGATTGTAAATTTGATAATGGTAGCTAGATTCGTGATGGTTAAATATTGGAGATGGAATTGGGATATTCAAAGAAATGAGTGGTACAATGAAATATGGAATATGGCAATAAATAATAAATTAACAACAGAAATTAAATTTAAAAAGGCGATGATTAAAATAAATAATTATAATGAAATATGGGATGATTTTATAAAAACAGTCTTGGTGCAAGGCAAAGGGAATAAACCTGCTCAAGAATACATGCTGTTTTGGAGGGGATAAAGGCACAATTGAAATATATTGTTAGTTGTTATATGAGAAGAAATATAGGTAATATAAATGGTCTCTAGTGGTGTGGGTGCACTGTAGTATTTGTATTTTTATACTGTTTTTATTTAGATTTATATGTGTTATGTCTGTATTATTTGTATTTGAATAAAATAATTTTTTTAAAAAATTGTGGAAAGTTCAATTGGACAAACTACTGCCTCCAGATTGATGACCAGGGAAAAGCAATTGAAGACATCACTGATCATATAAAAAAAATATCATATGTCCCGGTTCAAACCTGGACAGGTGTCATGGACACAAGCTGGTTTGGAGAGATCTTTGGTGATTGGCTTTTGGGGGTCTTCTGGTTTTGCCATGCTTGATTCCCATTATCCAAAGAATAGTTACGTCTACCATCTCGGGAATGACAGTCATAGCGTCCTCTGTAAGGAGTGACAAATTCCATAAGCCAGCCAAAGTCCTGACTCTCACTGCAATACCAAAGGAATATGCTTCATTGGTTACCAAGTAACAAATTAAAAGGGAGGAATGAAGGGAATTTAGAGAAATCAAAGCAAAGCTGTTTTGCTTCTGTATACTACCCTTGTGCAGAAACCTCCATTAGCCCAAGGTGAGAAGAGCACGTACAGAGAGATAAGAGAAAGTGACATAAGTGTGATGGTGTTGAAAGTTGATTGGTTAAAATAACACTATAAAAGAAAATTTTGTGGAAACAAGGGGTGTGGCTTTCCTTTTTTATGTTGCTACCTGCATGTGGAGGAAATACACCCAGCTGCTTCACTCTGCTGATTAAAGAGCTGTTTATGGAAGCCTTCGTCTGAGTTTCTTGATATAGAGCAGGGGTCTTCAAACTGGGCCCTTTTATGACTCATGGACTTCAACTCCCAGAATTCCTCAGCCAGGCATGTCCCTCCCACACGTAATAATTAGTTATATTTAGAGATGAAGCAATTCTTTTGGCTAGATCAATAAAAAGGTTCTTTGCTACCGAGGGAATCTCAGTTGTGGTTTCCAATTCATCGTAAAAAGAGTGAAAAACTTGAAAATGTTTCTGGGATGGTGGTATAATAGTGTCAACTTGAACATATATCTGCATACAGGGGTCTGCTCTGGTTCATTGATAGACTTCAACTCCCAGAATTCCTCAGCCAGGCACACTGGGTGAGGAATTCTGGGAGTTGAAGTCTATGAGTCATAAAAGGGCCCAGTTTGAAGACTCCTGATATAGAGTCTCAGAATTTTTTATGCCAGAGGACACTTGAAATAATCTTACACTACAATGCAAACTCCTGACCAAGGTGCATCAAAGTTTTTTCAGCCCTTCCTGAAATCACAAAACATAAACTATGTTACAAGACAGAAACTGGGCCAAATTTTAGTAACAATGGTAAAAAAAAATCACATTAAGTCACTATTTAGTTTTCATTGTCAAAATACAGATACGGAAGAGACTCCAGGGCTACGCAATGAACAGGAGAACAACAGGCCTGTAAGTGGGTTAAAAGAATAAAAAAAAACAAGATACTCCTGGGAAATCAGTTAAGCTGGAAGATCTCCAAGACTGCTTGTTGGGGTCCACTCTGAAAAATCCTCAGATCAGAAATTCTTTCAGGGTGCCAACGATTTTCAGGAACATTCACAGCAACTTATTTGGGCACAATCTGGGTCCGCACAGAAAAAGACAGGACCTCCAAAGCCCAGATAAATAAACAGTCCCACTGCCCAGTCCCTCCAGTCTGGTCTCCCAGCCCTTCCCAGTCCCAAGGCAAAAGCTTCAGCCTCCTTCCTGCTCCTCCCCACAATCCCAGTTTTCAGAATCCAAACGGATCAAAGCTTTTCTCCCACAGAAGGAGGGGGGATTGGACCTTCTGTAATCCAGAACCCGCTTCTTCCCCTCGTGGGGCTGAGCAGTGAGGGAGTCTGAAGTCTGCCTGAGAGGAGAAATGTGTGAATGTAACGCAGGTTGGGCGTCCTCACAATCACAAATCCTCCTCAGGTCAGGAAGGGCCGGTCAGTCGGGGCCTGTCTGTGTCCAAGCAAGGCCTTCATTTCAGGCTCTCCACCCGGAGGGGCTTCTCTCCTCCTGCCTCCAATCCAGCCTCTCTGATCCTTCAGATCCTGAGAGTTTGGGAAATGCCTCTGGAAAAGCTGCTGCACTGAGAGTTTCTCTGAGGAGCAACTAGGGACACCCCAAGACCTCCCATCTGGTTACTGAGGAATAAGAGTAAACTTTAAATATTTTTGATTCTGCAAACTGGCCCATGCTAAGAAACTTCACTTGATAGTTTCTCCGAACAAACAGCTAGGAACACCCCAACGACCCCTTTCTAATTACAAAGAATAATAAATTTTAAATATTTTTAGTTGTGCAAACTGTCCCACGTTGGTGCCTGTCCTAGAAAAAAAAGCCCAGGGGATACTGGGGTTTAGGAAGGGGGTGGGGGGGCAAGATCGAGGAGAAGGTGACAATCAAGAAGGAGGGCTCTTTAGGAAGACCATTCAAGGAACGCTTCTCTGTACACTCTTGCTCTGCCGCATTCACACGGCAGCCTTACCCGGACCGCTCCATTGCACCAGCCTCTGCCTCGGCCAACACACGGAACCCAGTCCGGCTCCTCCCAGCACCAGAAGCCACAAAGAGCCACCGAGCCCGGCCAAAGGCAGGAAAGGCGACCCAGGAGGAAGGGTTGTACGAAGGCAGCCAGGAGGTTCATGAATTGACCTGATCCCGTGCAAACGCCGCTTTCCGACAAGCTCCACTTTGGGGAAAGGAAAGAATTGCGCTCGGGGGCGACCAGGTAGACTTGACTGAGATCTGGAGGGGCGACCCTTGCTCTGTCCGCAAAGGGGTTCTCCTGCGGGGGGTGGGGGGAGGCAGCAGCAGAGTCCCTTCCACGCTTTGGGGTCCCTTCTGAGAGGGGCCAGAGGGGGAGGGGGAACGGACTAGAAAGAGGACCGAATCAGAATTCTCTTCCTGGGAATAATCTTTTGGGGGAAAGAAGGGAGAGAGACACAGAGAGAGATTCCCTGGATGGATTCCCACCAGCAGAAAAAGGGGGCGGAACCTCCGACGCCCCGAAAGGGACTCACCGAGGCAGCTCTCCCGCAGGGCGACCGCCACCAACACCAGGAGCGACAGAGAGCGCAGCGCCATCCTGGCCGCGATCCTCGAACTGCGATCCGCTCTCCAGGCAGAGAAAGACGCGCTCCGAGTGATCAACAACGCAACAACCCAGAGCAGAAACGGGTGATTGGTCAAGCTCAACCAGTAGAAAAAAGGTTTTCCGATTTCGTCATTGTTGCTAGGCGGACGTCCAGGCGCAACCGGCTGGACAGGCGTGGAAAGGAAAGTGAAAGTTCCATCAGGAAATCCCCTTCCAGGCCTTCCGCCTCTTGGGGGGGAGGGGCAGACATGGGGAGGGGGGGTTGGGAAAAGCGGGAGGGTTCTCTGACCCTGGGGGGAGGGGCGCAGACGAGGGGGAGGGGAGACCCCGCAGAGCCCTTCGCAGCCGGGATCCGGTGGAGCTGCCAAAAAAGCCAGGGCAGTCCTGGGCTGCATCACCAGAGAGATAACGTCAAGGTCAGGAGAAGCCACAGCACCGCTTTCTCCTGCAGAAGTGAGGCCACACCTGGCACACTGGGCCCAATTCTGCTCACCAGGAATACAAAAAAGATGCTGAGACCCTGGAAAGCCTGCCGAGAGGAGCGAATAAATCCTAGGATGAAAGGTTGAGCAAGCGAAGTACGTCCAGCCTATGGAAGAGAAAGACTAGAGAAGGAACCTGATAACTATCTTCCTGTAAGGCAAGGGTCTTCAAACTCGGCCCTTTGATGACTCGTGGACTTCAACTCCCAGAATTCCTCAGCCAGGCACGCTGGCTGGGGAATTCTGGGAGTTGAAGTCCACCAGTCATAAAAGGATCAAGTTGAAGACCCCCTGGTCGTGCCCAATTGCAACAGCACAAGACAGCAAGGGGACAAGGGAGCAGTATGATTGGCTTTTAAATGGTTAAACAATCGTTATGTGCCATCAATTCGTTAGGTGTCGTCATTTCATTTGAATCCAGGTCCGTGACTCCTTTTGTTCGAGGTAAATGGTGTTTCCCTGCACAAGCGTTAATAGTGCCCAAAAGCGAGATAGCGTTAATTAGGGTTAGCCCAGATGGATCCAATTTCTCTTTGTTCCAGTATTTGAGGGGATCCACTATTTTTCCAAAGGCCCGGAGGACAGGAGAAGGAATAAGGGGGTGGAAGCTTGTTAAAGAGAGGTCTAGCCTAGAAGTAAGGAGAAATTTTCTGACAGTGAAAACAATTAGTCATGGTATGGTTTTCCCTCCTGGAGTTGTTAGAGCTGCATCACTGGAGGTTTTCAAAAATAGACTGGACAACCATTTGACTGGGATGGTGTAAGGTCTCCTGCTTTGAGCAGAAGGTTGGACTAGAAGACCTCTGAGGTCCCTCCCAGCCCTATGAATCTATTTTCCAGGTGAGAAACCTCAAGTGATCTTTGCTCCGGATAAAGCATAGGGTTTCCTGCCTGAGCGAGGGGGGGTTGGACTAGATGACCTCCAAGGTCCCTTCCAACTTTATTATTATTAATAATCATAATCATAATATTCATTTGGCGGACTTTCTAATACAGCGCCCAGTCCCTGATTGCGGGAGCAGCAGATGACCTTGGTTCCTATGGGACAGAAGATTATTATGACTAGTGAAGCACCTGGGCAAGCTCCCCTCCCTCCCTCCCTCTCTCCCTCCGGTGTGGCAACCTAGAATGACGAGAAAGATGGCTGCAGCCAGGCTCATGGTAGAGTTGACAGCAAGAAGTTTATTGAAAAATACATTCTTGCAAGAGCGGCTGGCTAGCAAGTTGGCACAGCCAAAAAGAGATTTCGGCATGATTTTATTCACTAGGCCCAAAGCCGAAGTCCCTCCCTTGCAATGCCATTTGACAAGGACCACAAGGTTTACACCCTAACCAGAACGCCTAACTCACCCATGTGAATCCCCCACCCGTGTTTATATTCCTCCCCACCCTTTGCCTAGTTCCCCACTGGCTTTGGCCCTTCCTAAGTTTCTCTGTTAGCAGTGTGTGAAGGTTTGCCTGGTTCCGTTTTGTGGGAACGCACCTGCACAGGCATGAGCGGTTAGTGTCGTTATTATGTGCAAGCTCTTGTGGTTAAAAACTGTCAGCTAGTTTTTTTAATCCTCATTTCTGAACCTCCCACAGGGGATCCTTTAGACTGATTCCTTGCAAGGGAGAATGCAATTCCCAACCCCTTTTGGTGTCCCCCCCCAAAAAACTTTTAGAGCAGTGGTTCTCAACCTTTCTAATGCCGTGACCCCATAATATAGTGCCCCATGTTGTGGTGACCCCCAAGTGGGTGTGGCCACCAATAAGAGGGAGTAGGACAGCTAGGGAAAAGGGAAAAAAATGGCGGACAGCATGGTTTGGCGACCCCCATGAAATGGTCATTCGACCCCAAATGGGGTCCCGACCCACAGGTTGAGAATCACTGTTTTAGAGAGAGCTAAAAATAAACAGCACCGTTTCCAATCGTTATGAAAAGAAAAGCATTCAAACTAAAATTAGCCGTGCAATAGTCCAAAACCACATGTCAAAATAATTGCCATGCAATTTTGGAAGGATTAAACGGACCCTTCTTGGTAGCAATCAGCTGTGATATGTTCTTTGTCAACAGGGCTTTCTGCCCTTTTACAAAAGGACCTGGCTACATAGCATCATACAGATGAACTTGGTCCATCTCAAAAAGCTAAGCGGGGGTGTCAGACATGATGGGAGACCAACAGAAGAAACTGGACTGCCAGCTAGACTGAGTCATATTTGGAATTTATCACAAGAAGACAGTGGAAATTCACTTCCGTCTGCTGGTAAATCTCCTTGAATTATCAGAAAATTGAATAAGCAAGATTCAGAAGAAATGTTTATGATTCATGAATTAATGTGCCTGACTTTTTATGTTCCTTTTTCAATTCTTATTCACCTTTTCTCTTGTTCTCTTTCTCTCTCCCTCTCTCCCTGTCCCTACCTCTCAGATATAATAATAGTAGTAGTAGTAGTAACAACAATAATAAAGTTGGAAGGAACGTTGGAGGTCATCTAGTCCAACCCCATGCCCAGGCAGGAAACCCTGTACCATTTCAGACAAATGGCTGTCCAGTCTCCTCTTAAAAACTTCCAGGGTTGGAGCATCCACAATTTCTGGAGGCAGGTGGTTCCACTGATTAATTGTTCTCACTATCAGGAAATTTCTCCTTAGTTCTAGGTTGCTTCTCTCCTTGATTAGTTTCCATCTGTTGCTTCTTGTCCTGCCTTCAGGCGCCTTGGAAAATAGCTTGACTCCCTCTTCTTTGGGGCAACCCCTGAGATATTGGAACACTGCTATCATGTCCCCCCTCGTCCTTCTCTTCATTAAACTAGACATACCCAATTCCAGCAGCTTTTCCTTATATGTTTTAGCCTCCAGTCCCCTGATCATCTTTGTTGCTCTTCTCTGCACACTTTCTAGAGTCTCAATGTCTTTTTTTACATTGTGGTGGCCAAAACCGGATGCAACACCCACACAGAGAGCTAGTTGTTCACATATTTGAATCCCACCACTGTATCTCTCTCTCTCTCTCTCTCTCTCTCTCTCTCTCTCTCTCTCTAAAAAGTGACATGAGCGTTTTTCATACTTATGACCTTTGCAGGATCCCCATGATCACGTGATCAAAATTCCAAAAGCTGGGCAACTGGCTCATACGTATGACTGTTGCTGTGTCCCAACGTCATGTGGTCACCTTTTGAAAAATTTTAACAAGCAAAATCAATGGGGAAGCCAGATTCACTTATTACATTACTAACTAATTAAAGAGCCGAGGTGGCGCAGCAGTTAGAGTGCAGTACTGCAGGCCACTTTAGCTGACTGTGTTCAGCAGGTCAGCGGTTCAAATCTCACCGGCTCAAGGTTGACTCAGCCTTCCATCCTTCCGGGGTAGGTAAAATGAGGACCCAGATTGTTGGGGGCAATGTAAATATATATATACATTGCTTACTGGTGTACACCGCTTAGAGAGTGCTTGCCCTTAAAGCGGTATATAAGTCTCATAAATAAATAAATAAATAAATAAACTTATCAACTACGGTGATTAACTTAACAATTCTGGCAAGAAAGGTTGTAAAATGGGGCAAAGCTCACTTAACCAATGTCTCACTTAACAATGGAAATTTTGGGCTCAACTGTGGTCGTAAGTCAAGGACTGCCTGTATATCTATATACAAACATATACACATACACATACATATACATACATACACGTACATACTGTTGCTAACTGGCTCTCAATATATAGGCAGTCCTCAATTTATGACCACAATTGAGTCCAAAATTTCTGTTGCTAAGCAAGACAGTTGTTAAGTGAGTTTTGCCCCACTTTACAACCTTTGTCACACTTGTTCAGCGAATCACTGAAGTTGTTAAATCAGTAACACAGTTGTTAAGTGCATCTGGCTTCCCCCATTGATTTTGCTTGTCAGAAGGTCGCAAAAGGGGATCACGTGACCTTGGGATGCTGCAAGCGTTATAAATCTGAGTCAGTTGCCAAGCATCTGAATACTGATCTGGTGACCATGGGGATGCTGCCACGGTCGTAAACATGAAAAAGGTTATAAGTTACTTTTTTTCAGAGCCGTTCTAACTTCTGTGAGGAATAAAAATTCAACTCCAAGGGTGTTGGAAAACAAAGCAAGTTTTATTAAAGCTTTTGCAATAGCTGGAGGAACTCTTGGTAATGGCTAATCCCAGAGTCTACACCTGAATCAATTTTTGCATAGGTTTTTATACCCTGCCACATCCTTCCAAAAATGACCCCAGTCGATAGGCCCATCCGGTCACATGCTTTCCGACCACCTAGCAACCATTACAGTGACCAAACCCTCCAATTATTAGATCAAAAAACGCCCTTTGTTCCTGTCTTATCTTCCCTTCCTTGGCTGTGGCATGATTTGTAACATCCAGCTCACTAAGGGTATAACCCACGGGTCGGCAACCCGCAGCTCCGGAGCCTCCCCCCGCCATTTTCAGAGAGAGAGACAAGGAAAGAGAGAGGCTCTCTCTCTCTCTCTCTCTCTCTCTCTCTCTCTCTCTCTCTCATGTGGACTTGCCCCCTTGCAGGGCTCCTGATTGGCCCTGTGCTCGGGTGCCCCACCCCCTGGGAGAAGGGCAGCCAGGAAGTCCCTTTCCCAG